GATTTTTTTTTTTTCAAGATACTACAAAGTGACATTTCATCACTCATCCACACACACACACACACACACACACACACACACATATATATATATATATATATATATATATATATATATATATATATATATATATATATATATATATATATATATATAGTAAAGTCCATCAATGTTCGTAATTGATTTATAAATTGTGAGGATATAACTAGAGTTTTCATTTTTGCATTTGCAAGTGCAATTGTTTGAAAACTATAGGATTTAAGTGAAATTATCCTTTCTTTTTTTAAAGGTGAAATTATCTGAAATAAGATGGGTTCATATTTTTGTCAGCTAAGGGTATATTTGTCAAATACAATCCATGACACAGTCCAGGTGAAAAGGGCAAGATAGCCATTTCATGTAGTGACGCAATGCTGGCGCACTTCCGACTTCAGAGACTTGGGAGAATACAGCCAATGAGCCACCTATGAACTGTGTGATCACTTTGCTGACGTCCACTGACAGTAATTCCTCCATTTTTTTCTCTCTTTTTTTTTTTTTTTTTTTGAAAAAAAAATACTGTATTCATGAGAAAACTTCTATCGTCACTACTCTAGAATATGCATGTATTGTGATCATAGTCTTCAAAAGATTACAAGAAATAAATCATAATAAGTCATTCTATTGTCACGGAAAGTTGAATTTAGAATAATGTGTTTACCAAGCAAATGATATGACCAACTTAGTTGAGATTGCCCCATGTATGCCTTATTTTAAAGTTATAGGTTTATACTATTCGATCTCAAAATCATTAGCATATATGATCTAGGATATGACCAGATTATTAAGCAAAATGTGACATATATTTGGTAACTATGAAATGAGTAGATCATGATTTTCATATAGCTTGTTGTATAGGATGTGTTATAGAAGAAAAAAAAAAAACTTATTATATGATAAATTTAATTTAGTATTTTTAAGCATTTGACTTGAATTTAAATCTCATTTTTCTATTTTAGTGATGCATTATATTACAATAAATAAAAGATGATGAAACATACTCATATATAGCATTAGAGCGTTGAGTGATTATGGATGTATGTCATCTCTTACCCCACATACACACGCTAGTTTCATTAATATAACAATAATAAAGTATTATTTATTAATTATATTGCAGCTTTATTTGACAATATACATTATTATATGAACTCTATTTTTTAATTTTATTTTCTAAACACACTAGTTTAATTTAATTATAGTAATGCTTAAATATTATTTTAATTACATTTCAAGTTCATTTGAGAATATATGTATGTTTTCATATGGGCCCTGAATTTTTATTTCGTTTTTCACACACACTAGTTTCATTATAACAACACTAAAGTATGATTTTAATTATACTACAATTTCATTTTTAATTATACTACAATTTCATTTGACAATATACGTATATTATTAGATGAGCTCTGCTTTTTAATTTCATTTTTCACACACTAATAATATCATTATAGCAATACTAAAATATTATTTTGATTCTACTACAATTTTATTTGACGTGCGTTGTGTAGACCATGGTCCACGAACTGCCGAGATTACATAATAAAGAAAATTTTATTATGGACTGTAATGTTGATCATGAATAAATGTACATTTTTAATATATTGAATGTAGGACATTATTTGATATATTACAACATAAAGTATCTTCATTTGTGAACTCTTGTTGAGGCAGACCTCTGGACATGGTTCAACCTGTGCCGCATGTTGTCTTTGTAGTTGACAACGTTGTGGTTCTTGGCTGTTGCGGCTCTTGGAGGCCGGTCCCTGATATTCATGGCGGCATTATTAAGGTTATCAGCTTCACTTCTTGAAGATTTCTCAGGGTTTTCTGCAACAGGTGAAGATGTATAAGTAGGGATAATAATGTCTTCCTTTACAGATTTATTGCTTCTTCTCCTTGTTGTGCTGTTACTGCTTCCTTCATTCTTTATGATTATTGCAGGCTCTGGATCTTCCTTGTGGACTACAGGGAGCTCAGAAAGGTGACATGCTAAGGGGCTTGTGTAAAAGTACTGTGCACAAAACACATATATTAGTGCTAGTTAAAGATTAAGGAATTGAAGGTTTTTGTGTGTGTAGTCTTGCCTCATTTTGGAGAGAAGAAGCTGCAGAGCCGCGATAGGATGGATCTAGGGCGAGGAGCGTGTAGAGTAGACCCGAGGAAGAAGATGGGAAGTGTCTGAAAGCTTCTCTGATGCAAGGCTTGTATGTATAGGGTGGCCTGAAAGTTGTTGGAAGCCTTGTTCTCTGATGGTGTGCCACATAGCTTGAATATCTTGTTAAGTTGCTCAACCTGCAGATCCAAATTTGTTTTCTTTTTGGTTAATTTGGTAAGGTTCTTGGAATGAAACATGGTTATTCATTATATTATATTACCTCTGTCCTACCAGGCAAAACTGGCCTGCCAACAAACATTTCAGCCATGAGACACCCTGCACTCCACAGGTCAATTCCTGCACCATATTCTGTAGCACCTAGCAGCAGCTCGGGGGCTCGGTACCAGAGCGTCACGACTCGAGTAGTGAGGGGGCGCCTCGTTCCCGTGTTGAAGAAGTTGGCAAGCCCGAAATCTGCAATTTTTAGCATCCCATTTTTGTCAATCAGCAAATTTGAGCCCTTTATGTCTCTGTGCAAAATGCCCCTTTCATGGCAATGCTGCAGCCCAGATAGAAGCTGCTGCATGTAGCACTTGACCTGAGTGAAGCCATAAATAATCAGAATTAGTGTTGAGCATATAACCATTAATGTGCAATCCAACCATCAGCTTAGGCTTTTAGTTGAGATGGATCACATGCTTTAATTTGGTATCAGAGCCAGACTAAAGGTCATGGGTTCGTAACCATTAATGTGCAATCCTTCGTTCGAAAAGATTTTGTGTGTTTCTGAGCACCTGTGATTCATTGAGCCTGCCACCAGGCCTGGATATAATGCTGGCTAAATCAGACTGCATATAGTCAAAAACCAGGTAAATACTGTACTGCATTCTTGAAGTTGCCAGCCCTTCAAGCTTTATAATGTTTGGATGATCCAACTTCTGCAGAATCATGATCTCTCTTGCCATAAATTTTACACTTTCTGGCTCTGATGTTTCAAACTTGACTTTCTTCAAGGCAACAACCTTTCCTGTTTCCTTGTCTCGCGCTTTGTAGACATTGCTGTAAGTCCCCGAACCTACCTAAAATGTATCATCAAGAAACTTGTATCAGGTTCAATGTTTTTTTTTTTTTTTTTTTGTGAGTTACGAGGAAAATCCATAGCCACTACCCGAGAGTGTGCACTGGGTAAACCTTGATAAGGTAAACCAGCTTAGGTTGCCCATAAGTGACCGGCTCAAACCAGTACTAACTTTCAATGTTGCATTTGAGAAATCCTAAAGTGTAGTAATGGCTGCTGACCTTATCAATTTTCTCATAGGAATCTGCACTTTTTGGGACTAAACCTGCAAGAACCTGTCTTGGAATATTATCCACTAGCCATTTTGGCCAACCATCCACCATCTCTTCTTCCCCAGAGTTTGTTTTCTTGGAATCAATTTCTGCAGGAGCTTTGCCACCACTGCTCCTTGGCTTCTCTCCTTTCCTATCAACGGCGGTTTCCCTGCCTCCATTGCGAACATAAGCATCATCTCTAATCCTTGGCTCGGGCCGGGAAGGCCTGCCAGGTTCATATCTCTGGCCAGTTGATCTCCTAGCTCTGGCATACCCGTTTTCCAGCTTCATCTTCTCCGCGCCCCTCTGTGGTGGCTTCGCTTGAACAGACCCCATACCAGAAAGATCCCAATTAAGCTCCCTGAGATTATGAATAATAAACACCCCAACAACTGTTGCAGTTGCAGGCTAAAAACTGTGACACTGTCAAGAAATGGTCATTGTTGTTTCATCAATAACATCAAGAAAAGGGAGACATGTGGAGAAAACTGATGGGAAATTTTAGAAAAATAAATGCAGCAATGATGCAAAATAGATTTGGTAAACAAAAGAGCAGAAGGTGACAAGGGAAGCCGGCCTGCCTGCCTGCTTTTTTCAGAAATAGATTATATTTTTCTACTCTCTGCCTAGCTTAGCTTCATCCGTTGTGTGAACTTTGGCAAAGAAAAACAAACTGAAAAAGACAAAGAATGGAAGATTTTACACAGAAAACTAAAAAATAAGAAAAGATCTCATGCCTGCAACTACTTTTGCCATGTGTTTCTATTTAAACTATGTTACTAGAGAAGAATCTTATAGGTATTATTATGCTATTATACTCGGGTATATGATACAATGACAATGAGTTTTGTAATATATATATATATATATATATATATATTAGTGATATAACTAGTTAACCACTCTCCCCATGAGTACATGAACCAACATAGTGCATTAATAAAAATAGATCTATGGATGAGATTAGTTGTGAGAGCTCAACATCCTCACATGTGCTGTGTGCATATCCTATATTTACACATAACACATGCTTAATATGCACACAACACATTGCTCTATCCGCAATTAATCTATAGATCTGTGTGTTTAATGTACCATATTGATTCTCATGTACTCATAGAGAGAGTGGTTCTCATAAGAACATCATCTTATATATATATAAAACAAATTCAAAACTCTAAATTTGGATAGATTGAAAAAATAACTATGAATAGATACTACATTGTAACAGAGTTTAGTAGTACTCAAAAAAAAAAAAAAAAAAAAAAAATAGTTGGGACAATTTTTAATAATTCTCCATGAGAAGTAAAAAACATGAATGAACCATAACAAAAGGTAAAGAGCTCAAATCCTACCACCAACAAACTTCACATATTTTTCCCTCCCCTCTTTCTTTTTCTTTTTATTTTTTCCCTTTCGTGAGATACCTTGACAGACGACTGGACTCTGGAGGAGGTGCAAAGCTTACGCGACGGGCGAACAGCTTTCTCTATCTCCGGGGCGCACATTCCGGCGAAGGCACAAAGCTTAGGGCACAGGCGAACAGGACAACCATCCCGGCGAGCCTCCCTTCTCCGGCAAACCTTGCATCGCGGGCAGTTCCAGAACTCGGACTCTCAAAAAGTAATCATCTAAACCTATTTTTTTTTATTTTGATGTGTATTTTGTCCAACCTCAATGATGTGATGATGGAAGCGGTTTGCTTATTTTTGTGATATGATTTTATTTGCTTATTGTTAAGCTTTCAACGAACTTTCAAACTAAACAAACTTAGAAGCAGCAATCGTTGTTCTGCTCAGCTCACTTGCTTCTCCATATGTTTAGATTTTTACATTGAACTAGGAAATTAGGTCTGTTATACAAGTTGTTTTAAAAATCGACTCTGTTAGGTATGTGGAATGGGGATTGTCATTGGAAGCCTCCATGACATCTCCATCAACCTGAGTTTTTGAGACAAGTTTCTGGATTGGTGTAGTTGAGAATTCTGAAATTTTAATCTTGATAGGGATAGGATGGAACATCTCCATCAACCTGAGTTTAATAAGAAATTTGAGAAGGGTTGTTTAACATAGTTTCTATGTGAAAATTTTATGAATTCTATTGCTTTTCAATGATGGATTGCTTTCATCTTATCCCACTGGTAGCTATGGGTTCAAGTTCATTCCTAATTCCAACTTTCAAATTCTCTAATTCACAGTTATTTGAGGTTCTGCCTCCCACCTCCACTTGGTGGCTGAAGTTATGGGTTCGGAGATTGAAACAGTTGAGCAAAGGTTGAAATCGTTTCTCAGTCAGCTTCAATCTGAGTTTGGCATTCTCGATCGAATTGTGTACAAAAACAAGAATCAACACAGAAGATGCTCTTATTTTCAGTACCTGATGAAGGTGAGAAGAGACTTAAGACTTCTCAAATCAGCAAATCCGGAGGAGATTTTCAGTGCCTCATTTGATGTCATCCATGGAAAGAGGCCTAAGCAAAAGGTGCAGCTTCTGGAAAGCCTGAAGAAGAGAAGAACAGACAGTAACAAGCACAACTTTTTGGATCGGCTCCTGGGAGTTGCTCACCTGTTGTCACAGATGGCTGAGCCGATGTTGAAGGCAGCAACGCAGGTATCAACTCTTCTTGCTCGATCATTTTTCATGGGGTTTTCATTGACGGTGTTGGCCTTGTTGGCGCGAATCAGAGTTTTGGTTCAGCAAATGCTTCTAGATGTTGTTTGTGTATTCAACTGCATATCCTCTCTTTCTCAAAAGGAACAAGCTGTTAGGTTAACTCAAGAACGATTTGAGGTTTTTAGAGAATATTACCCCGCAAAGCAACAACCTGCTACTTTCCTAGAATGCATTTGGGAGACAGATAAGTATAGATTAACTGAGAGGAAAGGTGCAAGTGAGGTTGAAAACCAGGAAAAGAAAACCAAAGAAGATGCTGCTTGTATTGAAACATCAAAGATTCAGTACCAAAGTGTAGAGATTTTCCTAGGAGAAGACGAATGTGATAACACTGTCCCTGATGAAGTTAATGTAGAAAGATCATCTTCCTTGAATAAAAAGGATAAGAGTTCTTCCCCGTTGAGTCCTATCCCTGAGAGTAATGATGATGAGACGCAAGTTCCACCAGGTTCAGATATTGCGGTTTCTCCTGACAAGAGTATTGTTTGTACTGGAAGCGGGATAATTAAGGGTGATGCTGAAGTGAAAATCAAGCCTAAAGCAAAGCGTAATGTTGCATTTGTAATGTTGCATTTGTGTCGGTAAAAGTATCTGCTCCTCCTTCACTGTCATCTGTGAATGAACCAGGACATTGCCTTAAAGGAAAGGAAAAGGGTGGTTCTTCAACTACAAAAGAAGACCCATTTTTCAGTTTACTTACAACAGGAGGAAACAGGAATACTACTTTGTTTTAATTATTTTTACCGAGAATCAATTTTAAACTCCCGTCAACCCATGTTTACTACGTAGGGAGTATATACTTAGGGTGTGTTTGGTTCGCACATTGGAATCAGAATTGGAATGATAATCAAATACTTGATAATTGTATTGGTAATGGATTTTAATGAAAGTATTTTGTCTGTTTGGTAGTAGGCCAGGTAGCATTATAATGATTAAGAATATTGATGTTTTGTTATGCATGAGAATAAAAGTTCTAAAATACAAAAACAACAAATTGAGGCAATTAATTTTAATATAATGACATTCAAAGTATCAATATAAAAAAAAAAAAAATTTATTACATATCTTCATTATAACACCACTTGTTACTTGCATCAAAGTTCGAGTTATTTACGGAACGTCTATATATATTCTCATTTTGGTTCTAAATTCTGAAGTTTGGGATTTTGTAAGACTTGTATTTATAGGCTCTACTTGGCCACACTTTATCCACATAACACCCTCGCTGCCGCCAGACAATTTTCCAATGTTGTGATAAAACTTTAAAAAAACAATAATATATTTCCTCTTTTCTTCTTCTTCTTCTTCCTTTTACAGAGAAAACTTCAAGATTCCGAGAAAATGCCGGTAACATCATCTCCATTTTCGTACATAAAAATCCCAAAACCACCATCACCTTCCTCTTGCACTTCGATGAGATTCTCTGCAACCAGGCCCATCATATTTACAGTAAGGAGCTCTCAGGCTGAAGGCCCTTTCAGAAGACCCGTGGCTCCTTCTCCTCCTACGCCTGTAAAGCCTGTCCCACCCTCTCCGCCGCCAAGCTCTCCTCCCAAGCCGGCGGCGGTGGCGGCGGCCGTGGAGGACAAGAGTGTAGTTACTCTCGAGTTCCAGAGGCAAAAGGCTAAGGAGCTTCAAGAGTATTTCAAGCAGAAGAAGGCTGAAGAAGCCAATCAAGGCCCTTTCTTTGGTTTTATTGGCAAGAATGAAATTTCCAACGGCAGGTACTCAATTTTTCTTCTTCTTTCTCTTTCTGTTCTCTTGGAATTACATTCATCTCAGAGTTCAGTTTCAATTCTGCTAAAGGCCCAATCTTTATTGCTGGGATATGTTAAAAGTTGTGTAAATTTTGCATCAGGATTCAGTTCTGTTGCTAAAACATTGGGATTTGGGGATGAATGTTTGAGACTTGAGTCAAGTTAGCAACATTAGTACAAATTTTGGCTTAACCATGCACTAATGTTGATCACTATTCATCCATGGAATGATAGCTAGTCATGATTTTGAACAATTTTTGTATTGGTCTTTCCTCCATGTAAAGCTGCCACCAAGTGGAACTCTCTGGTTTACTTTTGAGAATGAAATTGAGGGGGTGTTTGGTTTGGAAGGTCAAAAGGTTAGGACTTTAGGAGGATGGCAAATTCAACTTTTAAGTTTTCTTATTTTGGGTATAGCATTCAGTATCCCACAACTCTTAGACTAATTTAGATTTAGCATGTGTTGAGCTCATATAGTTTGACTCTTACTCGAGAAAGGCATGCCCACACATATAAGAGTAGAATCCCAAACCTAACAGTTGCATTAAAATGAATTCTAAGGAGTGCAGAAGGAATTGTATCCCCGCCATTCTTAGATTAATCTAGATTTAGCCCGTTTTGAGCTCATTTTTTTACTTTTGCTCGAGAAAGGCCTGACCCACAGCGCATACATATAAGAGTAGAATCTCAAACCTAAAATGTGCAGAAGGAATTCACATAGTGACTAGTTTGGCTTTTGCTTTTTGTATTTCTGTCTAGTTTTGGTGTGTGCCGATGGGCAATGTATATCCTATGCAATAATAACACCGCTTTTGGATTCTTGATGAGCAGATGGGCAATGTTTGGATTTGCTGTTGGAATGTTAACAGAGTATGCCACAGGCTCTGACTTTGTTGATCAACTTAAGATTCTTCTCTCAAATTTTGGAATACTAGACTTGGAATGAGGAGCTAGCTTGTCTGTCCTCCAACCTGAATGTTGTGTCTTTCTGTAATGTATGTATGTATATGGCTTCCTGTATTCTATATTTTAGTTAATTCAGTTGTAGTAAACTGTGCCTTACCACAAGCCTTTTTAACTCTTGAAAACTCCATTCCTTTTTCACATACTGAGGCTGATCCAATTGTCAGTTCTAATGCACACATTTACTCCTCTTGTTTGTTTTATGGAGCACAATTTATGGTGTTATTCATGTACAAGTAATTAACTAGCTTTACTCCCAAGCATTTTACATGCTTTTGCAACACGAGACGCAGATTGTAAATTCTAGACGGGCTTATATATTAAACAAATTGATTCATCTAAGAAATGAAAACCTTTTGAAATAGTTCTTACACCAACGGCTCATCACGTGATAGGTGTAGGTGTAGTGTCTCCCACTTCCACTGAAGCTCGAATCCATGACCTGTTATTTGACCAAAAGGTCTGTGGCTAAATACCGCTTACCCATATGGTTTTTGGCTAAATGTACTAACCATTTAAGAGAATCACTTCATGCCGCTTGACCACAAAGTGTTTGGCTAAATACGGCTTGACCATAAGGTCTTTGGCTAAATGCTGCAGACTTAACTGGCGATTGGCGAAGTTATTCATCACTGCATTATTGGTATATCTAAAAAATATAATTGGATAAATAGTCATACATATATAGATTTATTACACTTACATAATAGTGTGGAAGAAGACTGTTACTGCGGTTGTATGTTACTATAAAAATAAAAAATAAAAAATAAAGTTTTCATGAATGCATAAGGTCGCGAAGTTGCTTCTCCAAATCGTCCAGACGAGCACCCCATTCGCCATTGATGCACAAGGCTCGAACACTGCTTTCATCTTTACCTGCAGAATCAACGCCTTCCTCTCTATCTCCGCCTCTGCTCGCCTTCTCCGCCACTACTCTTTCCCGGCGTCGGGTATGATTTTTCTTGATTTTCTGGGCTGAGGCTCGTTGCAGTGCCCGCAGCACATCGGCGCCGCTCAGGTGTTGTTCTTGTTCTTGAGGCTTCTGCTTCGTTTGCCCTCTTTGCTGCTGTGCGTCCAGTCTAAGTGCCGTCCATCTACCTAAATACGCCCCGCGATTGGGGAGTGATTGGCGGCGGAACTTGGTCGGAGAAGGGCGGCAGGTTCTCGCCGATTTGGTGGGGTCTGCAAGTGGAGGGTTAGGATTCCTGTGCAGGAAGGAAGACGAAGCGGCCAACATGGCTTCAAGATTAGTGGCTGAGAGGAGAGGATTTAAGCTGCCTTCGTCTTCCAAAATATATGGGCAAATTATTCTGTGGACACAGTAATGGTAGAATGGGTCTAAAAATACACATTTTCACAATTTTATATACTAAATGTTTACAATTGAAATTGTGAGCATTTAATATATAAATTATGTTTTTTGAAATCGTATTTACATTGCAAGATGGACCTAAATCCATGGCATAACTGTTGGTTAACTCGGGATGCATGATAAACTATCCTTATTCTTGCAATAATTTCTCACTTTCAAAAGTAAATTATACTTTTACATCATCAAATTTTTAAATTCTTTTCATTATTTTATCTACATCCCTGCAATATTTTCACTTTCAAAATCAAGAGTGATCACACCTTCATTTTATATTATAAATATAATAATAAAATAACAAATTCAAGCTTGCAAGCCACATAAGCTAACAAAATAAAACAAACAAAAAAAAATCACATTATTTTCCACATAATCTTAAAAGGTGTTCACTTGCTGGGAGAAGAATAGCGAATTTATCAATATTAGGTGGTGTACGTATAACAGCCGAACACGTTAAATACATTGTTTGACCACCATTTATTTATTTATACTAATATTCGTAATTAATTTTGAATGTAATAAATTAATAATTATAATAAATGTCATGTAAAATATTATCCGAGCACTGCTCGGACCAGCACTAGTATATTAATAATGATGATGAAAAACAATGACACCAAAAGCCTGTTAACAAAATTGACATTCAAGAAACTCAATATATAGATTATAGACACAACAGGTGACCAAAAAGCCATTTCAAAGGGATGGTCGTTCTGCGAATTCTGAAACTCTTGCAGCAGCATATGGCAACAGATTTCATCTTCTTCCTCAGGCTATGGTTGAATGCAAGGGCTCACATTTCGCCTACTCGTCTTTCTATCCAAAAACAACCTGGTTGAAACCTCCTTTGCAACCTTAAACTACATAATCTTGCACAAACAACTCCTTTCGTTCCCGCTATCATACTCATTGCCTGATTCACCTTCATCGCTGCAAACACAAGTGAACAATGAACACGCCTGACAGAAACATTTATAATTCGTCCATTGTAAAGTGAACTGTCCATAGTTTAGATAACCCATAAACGTGTAAATATAGAGCAGCAAGGGCAAGCAAGACTACATCAAATTTGCTCTTAGAATGTTTTGAATTACATGGAGAACATTAAGAGCCCTCGATAAACCAAAAAACAAGGAAAGAAGGCATAAAAGACTCCAGATAATATTTAGCATTGATCAAGATGAACTGGCTGCATAACTGGAAGTCCAGTCAAATGATTTATAAAGCATGGACATAGAAATAGTAAAAGAAAGTTGATGGTTTATGTATTATGTATCAAATTGCGAACCAGAGAAGCCACTATTAGATGCAAATACTAGCGGGCCTCTACAAATCAACGCTTCTTAGTTAGATTAAAAATAGAACGCCAACAGCACCCAGCAATATGCCAGAGAAACATTTTATGAATATTTCAAATATAGAATGAGCAAGGGCAGGACATAGTGACATACCTAAGCTCAAATTCCCGGATCTCGAAAAGCTCCCCACCAGATGTATCTGTCCACTGAACCTTCCTTCTAAGGATTTGATCAGGGGCATCATTACTCGATTCACCCACGGTCTCACAATCATTGGCACTACCACCAGAAACCGCTATGCTATTTGCTGGTTTCCTTAAGCTACTCTTAAGTGAAGGCTTCTGAGATGTATTTGTGCCTTCAACAAGACTAGCAGAATGGGTGTCCTTACCCTTTTCAGAAGCTGGGCAACTGGCTGGCGATACTTCTTGCTGCTGAGTAGGACCAACCTTAAGCGGAGATGGGCTCTCGAGTCCAGCGGCAGCACGACCAAAGCAGACAAAGGAAGCGCACCCACGGACAAGCCTGCTCTTCCTGGAAGCCAGTTCAGGATCAGTATCAGTTTCTTGGTTCACCAATTGGTAATGGCTCCAAGGCGTAACTCTCATGGGCTTCTCTTCGTTCTTCTGACCCAAGAGAAGAAGGGACAGGCCCTTGCTATACCCAGAAGCTGAAGAAGAGAAGAAACCCCCACCTTCTACTGCCAATAACATCAGTTCTTCTCATCTGGTCACCATCCAAAACTGTTTGTACAATAACCCTCACCCCCCAAAAATAGGTGCCCACTTTTTGCTAGTAGTGCTCCCAACAGGACAGTCAAAAAGAATGCTGAAAACAACCAAAAAGACAAATCAGAAACAACAGTGATTCAGAGGCCTAAAAGAACACACGCCTAAACTTTATTACTACTTTAAGATTTCAAATTCACCCCAATTTTGGTTCTCTAGCAACAATCTCACTTCATACGATTTGCAATTAACTAAAGCAATCAACCATAAACATATCCTAAATCAGCTAAAAAGCAAAAGTTTATCCTCATTAACAACTAAAAGACTCCAACTACAGTACAAATTTGTTAAATCAAAGTCCCATGGTTAACACCACTGGCATTCAAGATCAACCCCAGAACGAAAAAACGGAGAAACAAAACGAACAAAAGCTAGCGGTATTTGACTTAACAACGGATTCATAGCTCCAAAATGCAAATCGCAACAAATTAAACAAAATGCAATCTCGAAGAAACTACAAAAGAACAGCAACAAAATCCAAAAGCTCTACAGAATTTGAGCTGCGTTGAATAGAAAGAATGGAGACTACCAGATCTGAGTTGAAGAAATGCCCCGCGCGACTTCACCGGACCGACGGCTCCATCTCCGATTACTCGAAACCGTACAGAATACACCGAGGCGTAGACTATAGATACAGTATATATGCGTATCAGACTATCAGTGTATGAATATTATAAAAAGTAAAAAAAAAATGTAATTTAAGGCCAGTTGGGGGCTTGGGGGTAGAAGAGATTATTGGCTCGGCGCAAATCATAAGTTAAGGCCAACAATATCATTATTATATAATTTATATATTTTTTGAAAGCTATATAATTTATTTATTATAAAATGAATATTTATAAATTAAATAGTATTTCTTTTTTGAGAGAAAATTAAATAGTATTTGTTAACATTAGGTTTGGTATGTTAAAAAAAAATCATTAGGTTTGGTATATTTAGTTGTGGGGTTTTGATTTTTTTCCTTTTTTAGCTAAAAAAAATATTGGTACATATTTTATAAACAAACAAAATAGAGTAACAATTTTTTTTGCAAAGCATTTGATATTCTATAACTAAGGTTTGTTCGTCTTATGGAATATCCTTCTTATCCTTTTTGGTGCATTCTTTAGTTAAATTTCAGTGGGTTTTGCAATTAAGGTAGGTTCTTTGTTCGTTGTTGTTACTATTATTATTATTTAAACACCTTTAGAGTAGAATTAGTGTAAAATTTAAAAACTTAATAATTAAAATAAACTACAACAAATTGACTTCTTTTTTCATTATTAGGCTATTATTTATTGGTTTGGGTCACTTTTTATAGCTTTTAGGAAAGTGAAGGAATGAGAGGAAATTAGAGAAGGAAAGCTTGCTTTTGGCTGCTTTTAACCTTTAACAGTTTTCCACAGTAATGACAGTATCATCAACTTTTATTATTTTACTATTATTTGTTTATTCATTGTTTATTGGAAAGGTTGAATCTTCAACCTTTATGGTCCCAACACTCCGGCCCAACAGAGCATTTGCTGAACACATGCTTAGTGCGCACAAAGGTTGCTCCTAACACTACCGTTGGTGAAACTCGACTCAGGATCATTGTTCCCAAACTTCAGACCAAGTGAGCTGTTCATGCGGGCTTTTTATTTGTTTATTCAACTAACATGAATCATGATCCTTTATATTACTTTCAATTTATATTATATTATATTATATTGCATTTTATACATATGAATATGTTACAATTAAAAAACAAAAAAAAAAAAAAAAAAACACAGAAAAAATATAGCACATATATAACCAATATACAAGTTGAGGGATTGAAAGCAATGAAGCCTTTGTTTAATGTCACTTGTTTAATTACGTACTTCTTTTTTTCTTTTCTTGTCAAACATTACAATTTGCAACCACATTTGTAATCCTATGCTTATTCTTGTCCTCCCATATATTCAAAGGTTATCAAGTGCAGTCTGCAGTCTACTTATTATGAGTCATGCTTTTTCCAAAGTCTGATCTAAACCATTTTCAAAACTCTTCAACCCCCACTTTCCATGCCCCTTCCTCACTCAAAACAGCAAAGGACAAACAAAATAACTTTAATTTCAAAAGTTTTTCAACTAATATACTAATATGGTAAGGGGCCAGGAAAAAGCTAGGAAATGGGCATAATATCAGAAGGACTCATGGTTGATTCAGTCATGCTGGAATCCTTTTGTTTGACTTTCGGCTCAGGGAAAAGAAATATGCAGAAGTGGGCCAAATTAAACCAACAAAACATATATACAATTCAACCATAGTTTCATCCTGCTACACGTAGAATGCAGCCAATTATGCTTTTTGCGCTTTCCAAATCCTCTTCAAACTCACCATGGCAATTTTTGATTTGAAGTCTCAGACCATCCATACATAGTGTGTGAGTGTATCCATTGGGGGTGGGTGTGATTAGAGTTGCAGCCGTTGGCATGTTCCTATTTTGTTGTTGCAAGTCGGATGGATGTTAACAACTAAACCTCCCAGATTTGATCAGATTTTTGACTTGTGAATCACAATACTACAAAGTCAATTCATAGTAGGTGGCCCATTGATTTTTTAGTTTGATATGGACAACGTAAACTATTTTACCTCATTGATCATTTACTCATTTGTCAAGTAGAGTCACAAAATGAAGTTTACTTATACCCTCAAATTTCTCTCATCTTCCAATATAAAGAATTACGTCTTGTTATTTTTACATGGCAAATTTGTAATACTATAATTATCAAATAAATAAATTGACCAACTTAGTTGGATTGTCCGTGTTTCGGGAATCCCTTTATATGTTTGATAGGGAGTGACTTTATTTTCCAATCAATTAATGAACTAGTGTTTTATTCAAAAAAAAAAAATGTTTTTGTGACCAACTTAGTTGGATTGTCTTGTGTCCAGGAATTCATTTTTATGTCTAATGATAGGGAGTGACTTTACTTTCCAATTAATTAATGAATTATGTGTTTTATTATTTTTTTTTAATGAAGAAAATTTTCCAATTAATTAATGAATTTTATGTTTTAGTCACCCAAAAAAAAAAAAAAAAACTCACGAATCGGGTCAATATGAAAATGAGATATTCATAATTATTTACATGGTAGTACTTGTTGTTTAACTGACATGGTTGGCTTGGTGGTTTAGCACCTTATCCCTTACATATGAGGTTGGGGGTTCACCCATGTGAATGGAGCAAACCATTTGGCCTAGTCCCAAGTACTACTTTTGTAACTTTTTTGTAACTTATATTGCAAATATAATACTAATCATGAATAAAGTGTTTGTTATTTATAAAAAAAATTGTAATACTTTTAAGGAAAAATGTAATACATTTACATTTTGATGTAAAAGTATAACATTTTTGCTTATAAATAATGTTGGCAAGTGCTTGTTAATTATAAGAGAAAGTGCAATGGAAAAATATAATAATACATTTAAATCAAAATGTAAATGTATTACAGTACATTTTATTTGAGAATATTACATTTTTCTCATATAATTAATAATTTTGTTTATTTATGATTAATATTACATTTTCTTATTGACTCAATCTGTCTCATGAATAAAGATCCGTAACACAAATTCTTTATTGAAAAAAAAAAGACTTTTTAGTGATAAAGATTTTTGGGATAAATGACAAGAATGTGTAGAGGGGGGAGATAAATGACAAAAATGTGTGCTGACTTTTTTTTTGACAAAAATATGCAAAACTCACTTACCACTTGCGTTTTTGGAGTGGTCCCGGGTGTATTTTTTTTTTCATTATTTACGTAAAACGCAAAGGTGACTTGCGTTTTTCGTATTGGATACCGTAAACGCATCTGCCAAATGCGTTTTCATGTGACGTATGGAATACGTTAAACGAATTTGGTTGGATGCATCTATCATCACCGTACCGGCGCAATGGTGACGACCTCTGTTCAAAGAGGATGGAAGTCAACCTTTTGGTCAGCATCAGCAATTTAATTATCCACCCAAACGATGCATCGGCGGCCACCAGAGCTCGGGCGGAGAACATCCTACTTCCCCCCGGCAACACCTTATTAACGTCGTGGCGGCGGCGGCGGCCTTCTCTCACGGGGTTCATCAATTTACACTCACTGAGGGCGGCGCTGGCCTTGATGGCTAACGCGCACATATCGTGAAGAGAGAGCGGCGAGTGCGACTTGGAGATGGGGAGGAGGAAGTAAAGCTGCCCGAGCTGCAGTTCCTCGTCGGCGGCCAAACGTTTACAGTTTGCGTTTTAAACAAAAACGCATGTGCTAATTGCGTTTTGTTCTCTTCCGGCGACTTCACGATCGCCGGTACAAAAAACCAAAAACGCAATTTACTTTTGCGTTTTTGGTATAATACGTAAAACGCAAGAGTAAGTTGCGTTTTTGCTTATACAGTATCCCCTAGAAAATGCATTTCGGTAATGCGTTTTACGTATACGAATACGTAAACGCAACCACCTCTTGCATTTTACGGAAATACCGAAACAAAAAAAATACACCGGGACAACACAAAAAACGCAACTCCCAAAAGAGTTTTGCATATTTTTGTAAAAAAAAAAAGGCGACATAGTTTGAAATTTCCCAAGTTTGACTACACATTTTAGTCATTTATCCAGATTTTTGTGTGCTTTTTGTTTTAACTCAGTTGTTCAGCCGAAAGCTGAGTTGGCCCGAGCTGACCAAGCCCGGTCTGGAGGCCCGATTGATATCCAACTTGGGATCCAAGCCACCAAGCCAGACATTTCTCGCCCCATTCCTAAAACCCTTGATTTCCTCCTAAAACCCTAATCTGCCAATCTCACCTCTGATTCTGATAATCTCCCCGGGAATTAGACCGAACACCCACTCCTTTCAACTTCAGCCATGGTGGTCAGCAGAATCACTTCTCGGGTCTCAAGGACTGTGTTGACCCAGTGCCGCAAGTCGTTGATCTTTCACGCCCGGCAACAGAAACAACAGTCCCCAATCCTTTCCAATCGATTCCATTCCCTATGTTATCCTCAAAACAAGGTGCACTTTCCTGCTGAATAATTTATAACGTTTTTGTTTTTATTTGTTTGCGTTAATCTTCTACGGTCAAGCAGCAAATTTGTGGTCAATTTATGCTATAAAATCATTGCTCTGGTTAAGGGATTTTGATTATAGGTTTGTGTTTTTCATTCGTTCTTCGAGACTTATATTTAAGCTGGCTGTAAATTAGGTGAAGTACTCCGTAATTGATTTTGGCTTTCAAATTCAGCTTGGAAGAGTTCCTATTGTGGGATCGAGGTGTTGGATCCAATTACTTATTTTCTTCCATGAAGAAAGAAGAGCTTAGTAAATGTTAATGATTATAGTTTTTTCATCTTTGAGTTTTGAAGATTTAAAAAACCTCCCTTTTGCACCTTCTGTTGTGTGGCTTAATGGTCTTTGGTTTTCTTTATTTTCTATTTCTTATGTGGATAACTTTTCTCTTATCATGGGAGGTGGGCAGGGAAATATCAGAAAGCTTAGGAGAAGCTACATTTGTCTT